GCCACCGGCAGGGTGTCGAGAGTCGGGTTGCTAGCTCCATAAGAATTTAAGAACATAAGAGATGCCAATGTTGGATCAGGCCAAAGGCCCATCCAGTCCAAAACTCTGTGTCACACAGTGGCCAGAAATACCAGGTGCCATCAGGAGGTCCACCAGTGGGGCCAGGACATTAGAAGCCCTCCCACTGTTGACCCCCCCCCCAAGCACCAAGAAGACAGAGCATCACTTGCCCCAGAGTCCCTATCTATACCTTGTGGCTAATAGCCACTGATGGACCTCTTACTTCCTCTTATCTGTTCTAACCTGACCGCTCAGCAATTTCATGGAGTGTCCACGAGTTCTTGTATTGTGAGAAAGGGAGAAAAGTACCTGTTTGTCTACCTGTTCTTTCCCATGCATAATCTTATAAACCTCAATCATGTCACCCCTCAGTCGTAGTTTCTCCAAGCTAAAGACCCCTAAGCGCCTTAACCTTTTCTCATAGGGAAAGTGTTGCAACCCCTTTATCATTCGAGTTGCCCTTTTCTGCACTTTTTCCAAAGCTATAATATCCTTTTTAAGGTGTGGTGACCAGAATTGCACACAGTATTCCAAATGAGGTCGCACCATTGATTTATTTAGGGGCATTATGATATTGGCTGATCTGTTTTCAATATCCTTCCTAATAATCCCCAGCATAGCATTTGCCTTCTTTATTGCAGTCACACACTGTCTCGACATTTTCAGCGAGTTATCTACTACAACTCTCTCTTGATCAGTCTCTGCCAGTTCAGACCCCATCAACGTGTATTTATATTTAGGATTTTTGGCTCCAATGTGCATCACCTTGCACTTGGCCACATTGAACCCCATTTGCCATGTTGATGCCCACTCGCCCATCTTTGACAGATCCCTTTGGAGTGCCTCACAATCCTCACTGGTTTTCACCACCCTGAACAACTTTGTATCATCCGCAAATTTAGCCACTTCACTGCTTTCTCCCAACTCCCACCTCCAGGTTAGAGAACTCCTGGAAATTTAAGGGCAGAGCCTGGGGAGGACCGGGACCTCAGTGGAGTACAGTGCCATAGAATCCACCCTATAATGCTTCCATTTTCTGCAGGGGAACTGATCTCTGAAGTCTGGAGACAAGGCGTAATTCTAGGGGATTCTCAGGTTCCACCTGGAAGCTGGCATCCATAACCCATGGATATGCATTCTCCTCACTTTTTGTATTAGAAAACTCCTCTCTTGCTGGGGTCAGGGGGATCACAACAAGACAAAAACAAAATTTAAAAACCATGATGATCAATCAATGAAAAACACTTAAACAGCAGCTAGAACGTGTAAAAACAAGTTTGTAAAAAAAGGAAAGCAGAAATAAAGACTGTGCGATAAAAAAACATGCAGCACAAACCATGTAAAAGCATAAACTCAGCAAGCAATTAGAAGCAGGATGAAAAACCAGTAGACCAAGGGATAGATACATGCATATGCTGCCTCCCTCAGGAACAGGAGTTCTTGTCTATTCTTTTTCCAGACATGCCTGTTTTCACTGTCAGAAAGTTGGAGTTCCCCAATGAACATTTGAGATGTTTTTAGATGTAGGTTGGAACCCTGGTTAAGGAAAATGTGCCTGAACCCATGCTTATTGGGGTCATGCATGGGCCTCCCTCCTTCTCACATCCAAAATAGGTTCTAATTCCCATTACTCATCATGACCCATTACAGGAGTGCACATGAACCAGAGTTAGCTTTTCACCCTTAACTGGGTCCCTAAACCTAGCATTCATTAAACCCAACAACCACAGGGTCGGGAGAAACGGCTGCCCTGGGGTGGGGAAATGCAAACTCTCTCGTCCGCATGGCAGCCATCCAGGCTTCACTGTGATCTTTCCCAAAACTTTGTAGCAAATATTTTTTTAGAAAGATTGAAATCCCAGGAGGTGCATGAGCACATCACAGTGCCGTAAGGGAGCAGGAAAAGCTTTCCAGCAGCACTGAACCCGGGCCTATAACCCGTCTGGAAATGTAATGCTTAAAAGCTCTCTGGCTAATAACTGCTTGCCAAAGCTACCTCTTCAGTACTTTTCTAAAAGGGTCAAAGGGCTTCAACGTCCTGAGACAAGCATGATCTGAGCAGGCAGAGGGTGAAGACCGTTTGGTATTTAAAAAGTCAAACCTGTTCATTGTAAAAGGTTAAATTAGTTGCTGTGGCATTTTTAAAAAAGCAGAAAAAACTTATACAAGGGGTCAAGCAGATGACAGTAGCACATTGCAAATGTTTCTGTGCCATATTTCTAGGCCAGGTTCACAGCCGACATACAAAGAGTTTCTGTTTTTGGACTATGGCTTAAGCCACGTGACCGCCAACTTTGTGCTGAAGAAGGGGCCCACCAAGAAATCTTTGTGATGATGTGAACTACCTCAGCCTGAGACCCTGGAGAGCTGCTGCCGATCAGCTTAGAGAAGACTGACCTCAGCCAAAGGCAGCTCAATGGGTTCAAGTAGGGGTTCAGCCATATTGACTGCCCTCTGGGAGAGCTCCAAGCATTTCTAGCAGCCATTTTGTTCACAGCAAAGGTTGATTGTTCTAGTTTTTTCCTTCTCTGTAGCCCCTTCACTGAAGGCCGAGTGCCGAAGAATAGATTATTTTGAACTATGGTGCTGGAGAAGACTCTTGAGAGCCCCTTGGACTGCAAGAAGATCAAATCAGTCAATCCTAAAAGAAATCAACCCTGACTGTTCCCTGGAAGGCCAGATCATGAAACTGAAGCTCAAATACTTTGGCCACCCAATGAGAAGGGAGCACTCACTGGAGAAGACCCTGATGCTGGGAAAGATTGAAGGTCAAAGAAGACGGGGACGGCAAAGGATGAGATGGTTAGACAGTGTCATAGATGCAATGAACATGAAGTTGAGCCAACTTCAGAGGACAGCGGAAGACAGGAGGGCCTGGCGTGATCTGGTCCATGGGGTCGCGAAGAGTCGGACTCGACTGTGCGACTGAACAACAAAAGCCCCCTCTCCACAGGGAGGCAAATGTTTGGGTTTCAGGAGGATTGAAATCTTAATGTTTTGATAAGCTGGGAAACAGGTTATTTTTGGTCAATGAAAGAAGGACCATTAGACTGCGACCAGAGAAATCCGTACTTGCCATGACTTTGGGTCACACCTCTCTCAGCCTAACCTACCTGACAGGGATGTTGAGAGGGGATTTGGCTCAGTGTAGAGCGTCTGCTTGGCATGCAGAAGGTCCCAGGTTCAATCCCCGGCCTCTCCATTTAGGAAGGGGTTCAGGAGTTGGTGACATGAAAGAAGACCTTTCTGCCTGACACACTGGAGAGCCACTGCCAATCTGAGTAGACAATACTGACTGCGATGGACCAAGGGTCTGATTCAGTAGCAGGCAGCTTCATGTGTTCAGAGAAAAAAAGAAGAGGAGATTGGATTTATACCCCACCCTTCACTTCGAGTCTCAGAGCGGCTTACAAACTCCTTTCCCTTCCCCTCCCCACAACAGACACCCTGTGAGGTAGGTGGGGCTGAGAGAGCTCTGACAAAAACTGCTCTTTTTCAAGAACAGCTGTGCCAAAACTATGGCTTGCCCAAGGTCATCCAGCAGCTGCAAGTGGAGGAGTGGGGAATCAAACCTGGTTCTCCCAGATTAGAGTCCGCGCACTTAACCACGACACCATACTGGCAGAGGAGGGAAGATCCATGTAAACTGAATGGCTTAGAGGAAGGACGACCTGAAAAATGCACTAAACAAGTAGTAAAGACGATGAGAGCACCATCCCTCTGGTGGACCAGTGGGCCATTCATTTGTATCAAGGCCCAGAAGAGGGAACGTTTGCAAAAAGCGTAACTAGGGACTTTTGGGGATCTTAGAATGTTCCAACATGAAACCGAATCCCTCATTTCAGACATCTGTGAACAGGTTTCTGTCAGACAAAGGAAAGAGCTTTCTCTCCCCCGCCAAGCTGTAAATGATACAACTTCACCAAATTTATAATGAAAGTGAGATAAAATATTTCCTCCAGCTCAAGTTCATTGTTCTGTGACATTGAACAAGGAGGCAGCTGCTTGAGACGCTACAGGCATCGTCAGCCAAGGCTGCGTGTCGGCGGGATCAAGACATATAAACCATCTATTAGATATAAAATAAGGAATTATATAAAGGGTAATATTTAAAATTGATCATGTGAGAAATTGTGATCGAAGGCAGCGGCTGTGCGACGATGATATTTCCTTGTTTGGCATAATAGCATTTATGTCTGACAAATATGCCTCCTCTCTACGTGCCTTTTGAAAATGATTACAGTTTTTCGCAGCCTCACCAGAGATTGGGGGGGGGGAACCCTACATTATCCTCTTGGCATTTCTAGCCTTCAGATGTATTTATCTGGTATGTGTGTATGTTTAGACACGCACATATATTCTCTCTCTCTCTCTCTCTCACACACACACTCACTCTCTCTCTCTCACACACACACACACACACACTAAAAATAAAAGGTTGGGGCCTCCTGCTATAAAGGTTTCCATGCTCCTCCATGGGCAACCTGTTTTGCAACTGGAAGTACATCTCTAGTTTTTGTTTCACTTTTCTGGCACAACATCCCTGCCATCCCTTCCGTGAACGACATATGCCTTCTGCATTGCAGAAGGTCATTTTTTGATCCAGCCGATGATTTTGACACTTCCCTTTGACAAAACAATTAATGTGCATTGGAACACAATAATGCAAAGTTCATTACAATATAACTGCAGCTGTAATTCTATGGATTTGGTCACAATCTGCATTCTAGCAGAAGGGGTAAGCGAGCCCTCCTTGAGCAGAAGGGTGCGTTCCATGAGTGAAAGGTCGCCTTTGGAGTCTAACTGGTCATATTGATATTTATATTGTGTGGTTCCTGCAAAGGAAAGAGAACAGCTACGCAGGGTTGTGTATTGATTCCTTCCCCCCACCACCCCTGTTTGTGCTTCTTTGTCAACTTAATGAAGCCTTTGCCTTCCAGGGGAAGAAGCTTCCAGCCAACATTAGTGAAGACGCAGAGGAAGGCGAAGTGTCAGATGAGGACAGCGCCGACGAGATTGATGATGACTGTAAACTGATGAACGGAGATGTAAGTATCAGAAAGGAGCCAGGGAAGCGGAATGCAAAAATGGATGGAATACAGATTTATGAGTGCCCCAATTGTTTTGAATAACCTCTGTCTGTATTAAAGCTCAGGTGAAGAGAGCATGCTCCATCCCAACCAGGTTTTTTTGGGGGGTAGGGATCTTCCATTCAGAGTAAAGGCAGGAGGCATTGCCTTCACTCTGAACTGACTTTGTGACATCATCGCATACCAAATCTAATTGTTTAGCATGGTGATTACTCTGAATTAGCCTTGTGGCACCATTAATGTAGCCCAATCTGGCTGTCGGCAAAGTATAGCCCTCTCACTCTGTGTGGGATGGATCTGCAGCGTTGTCATAGAGGCAATTCTGATTGGCTACGTTGCCACCCATTCAGAGTGAGGGCAGCAATCGTTATTGCCTTCACTCTGGCTATTATGGTATCATCATGTTCGACACATGGCATCTGGTTGACTAGAATTATTTAAGGAAGGGGAAAGAAAATAATAGTACTAGTACAGCAGCAAAGAGGGAAATGGAAAGTGAAAACATGGGGTGGGGGAGTTGTAGGCCTCCCTCCCAACAGCTCCTTTTTGCCTTAGAAGGTTTATTCACAAAAAATGTAAATTCAGTACACCTCTCATCCTATGTATGCATGAAAGCTGGGCTCTTCCACATTCTCATTTTTGTTGCTTGTGTGTCCCTATTGCTTGGGGGGGGGGCTTCTTTTCCACACATGTTTTGCTCCCTCTAGTGTTCAATTCAATATTACACTGCTGTATGTCCAGCATGAAAACCTGTAGTTTAAATCTTCAGGGAGATGTGGCAGACATACAGTGATGTAATAGCGAATGGACCACTAGAGGGAAAGAAACAAATGCAGAAAAATACCTGAAGCCATAGGGGTACAGAAGCAATTAAATGGCTGAGCAGTCAGGTTAGAACAGATAAAAGGAAGTACTTCTTCACCCAAAGAGTGATTGACACTGCCACAGGAGGTGGTGGCGGCTACAAGCATGGACGGTTTCGAGAGGGGATTAGATAAGCATATGGAGCAGAGGTCCATCAATGGCTATGAGCCACAAGGTATAGATAGGAACTCTCAGTCTGGGGCAAGTGATGCTCTGTATGGGGGGGCAACAGAGGGAGGACTTCTAGTGTCCTGGCCCCACTGGTGGACCTCCTGACAGCACCTGGTATGTTTGGCCACTGTGTGACAGAGTGTTGGACTGGATGGGCCATTGGCCTGATCCAACACTGGTTTCTCCTATGTTCTTATGAAGAGCCCGCTGTTATCTCTGTACATGAAAATGCTAGATCATACCTTTAGGGTTATGAAGAATCAGGACATAGGGTAGGTCTACAGATACAGGAGCAGGCTTCATTACCCAGCGTCTGGGGCCCTCTTGGCAAGGAGGGGGCAATACGTTTTGATGCTTGCCCGCAAGGGAAGCCATGGCAGGGTCACGTAAAAAAAAAGAAGAAGCAGAGTTGCACTTATGTTTTGTTCTAAACAGTTTCTGTTCCATTCTCCCCCCCCCCTTGAGAGACCTTTCAAAAAAGAGAGAAGACTCAACAGTGGGGTTAAGTGATCCATGACAGCATAACAGCAGAAACTTTCCTGTATCAAAACGACCATACTCTTGGTGCATAATTGAACCTATTTAAATGGTTTTGCTACGGCAGTTGTTGTGGCTGGGTGTTTTTCCCCCCCTTTCACATTAAAAATCAGACATTTCAAAGCCAGGAAATTTCAGTCTACAGTATACATACTAAATAGGTCGAAATGTGTATTTTATGACACGACAGCATCCAGAATATATATGAGGTCTGCAAGCTTGCTTTATTAAAAAGGGGGGGGGTAAAGATGTTTTGTTGTGAGCCCATGATCAGCCCATGATCAGCACTCAGAAAATATGGTTCAGAAACATGTGAGAATTGTGTCACTTGGCAAATCGTAAATGGCAGTGTCCTCCAAATCTGGCTGGCTTCTCTTTAAGAGATCAAAATGGTGTCTTGGGGGTTCTTCGGTATCTTGGTTCGCAATTTGGTGTATATGCTTTTTTTGGGGGGGGGAACTATTTTCTAATACTATGACCCCACCATCTCCTCCCCTTTAGCATAAGAATGTTGGCTAAAGCCAGGGCTATTTTTGGGCAGGAACGCACAGGAACGAAGTTCCGGCTGGCTCCCGAGTTGGAACTCATTAGCATAATAGGCCACACCCAACAGCAGAAATTCATTAGGATTGGCTACATTAGGGGTGTGTAGCCTAATATGCAAAGGGTTCCTGCTACAAAAAAAGCCCTGGGTTTTGACGACAGACAAGGTAAACAGAATAAGAAGCAAAAGGTGGGTGTGGCTGGATGACCACACTTCTGGTAACACGGGGGTGTGGCCTAATAGGCTAATGAGCTGCTCTCAGGGTGTGGCCTAATATGCTAATGAGTTTCTGATGTCGGGGGTGGCCTATTATGCTAATGAGTTCCTGCTGGGCTTTTTCTACAAAAAAAGCCCTGGCTAAAGCAAACATTTCAGGATGGTTTTGCAGGGGTGGACAAACTCGCTTCACGTAACAGCCACACGGAATAAACGTCCGATGTTTGAGAGCCGCAAGACATGGACAAATATCACACACGTGTTTTTATGGGAAAATATGCAAATTTTCTTTTCGTGAACATTAAATTAGACTGTGTGAAAGATCCTCACGCAGCTCCCGAGCTGCAGTTTGGCCACCCCTGGTTTAGAGGGACTCCTGTTTGGGCCACATCTCTGAGTCATCTGGGGGTGCCAGCCTCCATGTGTGGATAGGAGGGACCTCAGTGGGGTACCACACCATGTAGTCCACCCCCCCCAAAGCAACCATTTTCTCCGAGGGAACTGATCTCTGTCATCTGGGGGATCTCCAGGCCCCACCTGGAGCTTGGCATCCCCAAATCACACCCTCTTCCTGTGAGCCCAACAGAGAGGGAGAAAGAGGGCAGGAGAGCAAGCTCAGTGGCTTCTCAGTCTCCTTGTCTTTGCTTCTTCACCCTCTCCCCAAATAACTGTTGAGTCGGCAGCGGTGCTGGAAGTAGGGTTGGCAGCCCTGGGTTGGGAAATACCTGGAGATCTGGGGGCGGAGCCTGAGGAGGGCAGGGTTTGGGGAGGGGAGGGACCTCAGCAGGGTATAAGGCCATTGACTCCACCCTCCAAAGCTGCCATGTTCTCTAGGGGAACTGATCTCTGTTGTCTGGAAATCAGTTGTTAAGAACAGAAGAACAGAAGAGAAGCCAATGTTGGATCAGGCCAACGGCCCAGCCAGTCCAACACCCTGTCACACAGTGGCCAAAAATACCAGGGGCCATCAGGAGGTCCATCAATTGAAGTGGGAGATCTCCAGGCACCACCTGGAGGGTGGCAACCCTAGGTGGAGGAGCAGTCGGACCACCGGCCTACCATCCGTTGGTTTTTTAAGGAGGGCACTGAAGGCCTTTTGCCTAAGGGCCGCCCCCAAGACTTGGAGTTGTTCTTACAGATAAGCCTCCTTTAAGATTTCACAAATCTCTTATTCCCCCCCCCTCCCCACTCATTGATCCACTCACTAAATGCAGTGTTTGGTGCTTTTTCTGCTAGTAAAGGTGTTCGGAGTACAAAGCATCTTAATCTTTTGTTTCCTTAGGCGCGCAAGCTTTTGATTCCTCCCTGCCCTTTAAAAGCCGCACACGCTGCGCCGGTTTGCCAGTTCCTTTAATCTTCCGGCACGCGCGGTGGGTGCTGCTTTCTAGGCAAACGTAAGACAAACGATGCCTCTAAAATATCTTCTTTGAAGCAGGTGGCCTCAGAGGTGATGGGTATCTGGCCCTCCCCTAATTCTCATCAGACTTTATCTTTTGTTCTCACATTTCTCACTACAAATTGTGTGAGAGTTCGGGCCGCATAAACTATTGAGCAGGATCAAGCCATCGCAGAGCAGTAAAAGAATTCTTGGGCTTGTCCCACTGTAGGACTTGCAGTTAGGGAATCCACAGGTTTGAACATTCCCCCGTAGGGATTATTTTGACATTTTCACGGCTGCTGTTTCAGTTCCATCACGATTGCATGACTCAAACCAACAAGTGTTCACTTTCCCATTTCTCGGCACCAAAACGTTCTTGTAAAATGTTATGCAACTTCAACATTATTTATGCAGCAGGACATCAGCATTATATATGATACATAATGTATAAATTGTGTATGAAAGCTGTATCACAGCTATACACAATAGAAACCTACCAAACCATCACGCAAAGGGGAGAACTACCAAATCACAAAAATATAAGTGACTATAAAAAGAAATAAAACAGGGGAGATGTGAACATAAGAACATAAGAGATGCCAATGTTGGATCAGGCCAAAGGCCCATCCAGTCCAACACTCTGTCACACAGTGGCCAGAAATACCAGGTGCCATCAGAAGGTCCACCAGTGGGGCCAGGATATTAGAAGCCCTCCCACTGTTGACCCCCCCAAGCACCAAGAAGACAGAGCATCATTTGCCCCAGAGCCCCTATCTATACCTTGTGGCTAATAGCCACTGATGGACCTCTGCTCCATATGGTTATCTAATTCCCTTTTGAAGCCGTCCATGCTTGTAGCCGCCACCACTTCCCGTGACAGTGAATTCCAAGTGTTAATCACTCTTTGGGTGAAGAAGTACTTCCTTTTATCCGTTCTAAAAAATCAGTTGTTTTTTTTTTAAATGTGCTGATCTCTACTGACCTGCATTCAAATAGACAAACCCATCCTTACTTGCCCATTGCTAGCTGGCTGGTCAGGGAACAGGATTTAGCTTTGATGTTTTCCAGGTGCATTACTTTTCTGTGTTGAACAGCAGTTACTTTGTTTAGAAGATTGTCCCGAATTTTGTGGTTTTAATGAGAAAGTTCCACTTTCCATCACGTTCTCTCCCAGCTCTGGACTTAACCAGTGCCATCTTTTCCCGTGACCTTTCTAATGAAATCGAATAGAACATTTTAAAAACTTTG